GGGGGAGCCCGCCCACTTTTAAAGAAAAAATTGCCGGGGCTTGGGGGAAAGCCCTAAAAGGCCAGGGAAGGGCCCAAGGGAAGACCAGCGGGGTCGAAGGGCCCTTTTTAAAAGCCCCAGAGGCTGAAATTCGCCTTCCCCTCCCCCACGTGGTGCTGGGAACCATGGGGGGGGGGGCGGGGGGGGGGCGCTGTGTCCTGCGGGTCTGAGAAGCAGCCAGGCCAGTGCAGCCCCAGGTGAGGGACGTAGCGGCTGGTGGCCCGGCTGCCCTCCAGCGTCTGTGCTGCTGGTGGAAGTTGCTGACACGGAAGTTTCTCCTGTGGAACCTCTCCCTCCAAACGAGAGGGTCCTGGTTAGGGATCCCCTCCAGCCGCACCCTGCATTGGGCACATCTCTCCCCCGGGAAACGGGCTGCAGGTGTTGGCTGTGAAGCTGGTCTGTGACAGCGACCACACTGGTAACGGCCCTTGTCCCGCGGGACCTGCTCGCAGTGGGAGCTACGAGGCGGCCGGCGCTGGCGGGAGGGGTCGGGTTTGTCCTCGTTCTGCTGGGCCCCCGTGGTCGCCGGAAACCTGGGTGGTGGGGGAACCTGCGAAAGGGGAGGCAGGCCTGCAGCTGGCGGGCGAGCCGCTGACCGGCTCCTCGGACCCAGGGCCGGCCGTGACTGGCGCCCACTTCCCTCCTAGTCATCCTGGCCAAGTACCGGCTGGACGGGAGGAAGGACGCCCGGGCGCTCAGCAGCAACTCCCTCACCGAGGGCCCCGAGCAGGACGGCCTGGAGGACCCCCGGCTGGAGAAGCTGTGGCACAAGGTACCCGGGCGCGGCCTCGCGTCGGGAATGGCTGCTGGGCGCTCCTCTGCCCGCGTCCTGCTGTTTCTCTGGGGGGCGCTCTCCCTGGGTGGGGGCGCCCGAGGTGTGGACAGGGAGCCGCCCTGGGCAGCTGTTCACTCAGGCTCCCCCAGGCGAAGACCTCCGGCAAGTTCTCCAGGGACGAGCTGGACAAGCTGTGGCGGGAGTTCCAGCACCACCGGGAGAAGGTGCAGGAGTACAACGTCCTGCTGGAGACGCTGAGCAGGACCGAAGGTGTGTCCAGCCCCCACCCCCTGCTCCCAGTGACGGCCCCGCCCCCGGGCGCCCTGCTCCCTGGGGGAGGGGAGCTGCGGGAGGGCCCCTGCTGGTTGCCCGTCGGTGCCTTTGGCGGGTGCGGGGACGGGTCAGGTGGAGCACTTAGTGACCTGGTCTCCGCCAGCCTCTCCCACAAACGCATTGTTTTGGCTGCTGTGACCTCTGGTGGCATCGTTGTGGAGTCGGTGGCTCCCCCATCAGAAAGCCGGGGCCCTGGCAGTTGGGGGGGGCGGGGCCTTGGGCTCCTGAGCTGACAGCCCTGCGAAGGGCCGACTTGGAACACGGTCTCAAACCTGCACCTTCCAAAGGAAGGGACGGGGGCTGAGGGACTGAGAGCTGTGGCCTCCCCGTGATGCGGGCGGCTCGTGGCTGGTGTCCCCAGGCCCCGGGCCTCACCAGGCACCCGCTGTGTCTCCCAGAGATCCAGGAGAACGCCATCAACCCCTCGGACATGCGCCACGCACAGGAGGAGGTGCTGCACAGCCGGCACGCGGAGCTCAAGGACCGGCTGCGGCGCATCAGCCAGGGCTACGACCGGCTGCGGAAAGTCAGCCACCAGGGCTACGGCGCTGAGGCGGGTGAGCTCGGGCGGGGGCCACGGCAGGCACTCCTTCCGCAGAGCACCTGGGCTCCTCTGTCCCTTTTCTCTGAAAGTTACACACCATCCCCTTCACATTCATGGTCCCTTGGCCCGTGTAGCAGTCAGGACAGCTGGTTACGCCGCAGTAACAGCTCCGCACGCAGTGGCTCATTTATACCAACACTTCCTTCTCGAGTCCACTGCGGGGCCTGACAGGAAGCCGGCCTCACCCAGCGGGTCCTGAAAGCTGCGGGCTGAGCAGGTGCGGGAAGGATGCCTGGCGGATGCTGCACACGCAGGGGCACACTCGTGCTCACGGGCACCTGTGCGTCATACACATGCCCGCTCCTGCACACGCAGCCCGGGCGCCACGGCCGTGCGGGTCTCTGAGGTGGCCCCGCTCTCCACAGAGTTCGAGGAGCCGCGGGTGATCGACCTGTGGGACCTGGCCCAGTCGGCCAACTTCTCTGAGAAGGAGCTGGAGGCCTTTCGGGTGAGCGGGGTGCAGGGGCTGCCTGTCCTGTCGTCTCCCTGGTGGCTGGGAAGGGGCTGCGGCCTCTGCTCCTGCCCGCTCCCCCTCCGCCCCCCTCCGCCTCCAGTGAACCGCCATCCCCGTATGTGCAGGGCTGCGGGGGGGGGGGGGGTGCTGTAGCCGCTGGGGGCGGGGGGGAGTCAGCGCCTAGGATGTTCTAGGCCAGTGATGGCGAACCTTTTGAGCTCGGCATGTCAGCATTTTGAAAAACCCTAACTTAACTCTGGTGCCGGGTCACATATAGAAATTTTTTGATATTTGCAACCATAGTAAAACAAAGACTTATATTTTTGATATTTATTTTATATATTTAAATGCCATTTAACAAAGAAAAATCAACCAAAAAAATGAGTTCGCGTGTCACCTCTGACACGCGTGTGACAGGTTCGCCATCACTGCTCTAGGAGGAGCTGAAGCATTTTGAAGTGAAGATTGAGAAGCACAACCACTACCAGAAGGAGCTGGAAATTTCGAATCAGAAGCTGCGGCACGTGGAGCGGTTCGGGGACCACGAGCACCTCAGCCGGAACAAGGAGCGCTACGCGCTGCTGGAGGAGAAGACCAAGGAGCTGGGCTACAAGGCGGGTGCCGGCCGAGCCTGGGCTTCCTCTGCTCGGGGAGGGGGTTCCTGGGGCCCCACACATGCAGCCTGGCTCCCGTGGGGGACGGCGCCGCCCGAAGGGGCGGGGTTGGGGCAGGGCTTCCCAGCTCCCCGCCCACTGCAGGCCCTCGTGCGAAGCTGGGGCCTGGCCAGGGCTGTGGGCGGCACACGGGCGGGCGGGGGCGGCTGTGGTGGGCGGCTGTGGGCTGCCCTGATGGCTGCTCTGGCACCTCCGGGTAGAGAACGGGGAGGTGATGGCAGCGGCGGCGCTCCGTGGCCTGTCACTGCCCGGCTCACCTGCCTGCTCTCTGTAGGTGAAGAAGCACCTGCAGGACCTGTCGGGCCGCATCTCCCGAGCGCGCCACAACGAGCTCTGAGGACGTCCTGGCGTGGCCCGCGCTCGGGGTGGCGTCTGCGTGAGCCAGACCTGGGACCGGGGACAGCGTGGCCGTGACCAGGGCGGTGGCCTCAGACGCCCCGCAGAGCCGCTGCCCTGCGCCCGAGCGCTGATTCCCCTGCCGCTGGATTCCCCTGCCGCTGAGAGGCCCTCGCCTACAGCGTCACAGCCACAGGACCCCTAAACCTGCTGCGGGGCCCCTAAACCTGCCGCGGGGAACCCCTAAACCTGCCGCAGGAGCCCCGGATCAGAGCCCCGTGCGATGATTGTATTTAATTCGTCCGTGACTGTCGCTCGCTGTCCCTGTCTCTCTCACTGTGTCCTTGCCGCTCCACCTCAGCCCACAGTGGCTCCAGGTACTGCCAGCCGGAAGGTCCCCCTTCCATCCCCACACCCCAGGCCCCGTCTTCCCTGATGCAGCAGAGGAAGGAAGGGCGGCTGGGGACGATTCTCAGCCCTGCGGGCACCCCGCGGGCAAGAGCCTCCGGGTGGTCTAAGGGGCACCTTCCCAGGTTGGCCCCTGGAAGAGGCTCAGCCGTCAGGCACTCACCCCTTGTTGGAAGGAACCCCGGGCAGCGTGCTAGTGTTCGTGGGTTTGGGGTGCCAGGAGGGGCCCCGCAGCCACTGGGTCCCTGGCAGGGTGGCCTCCCTGCTGGGCCTCCACACCATGTGTCCCTCCTGGCCACTGCCAGGCCTTGGCAGGGCTGGGGCTGCCCTCTGAGGCGCGGTGCCAGGGGCCCAGAGCCGGGCCCTTTGCCTGGCCAGCCCTCATGGGGTTCACATCGCGGTGGGGTAAGAGGCCTGGGCCATGGAGGTGAGCAGAGGGGACGGGGACTCGGTTTACCTGAGTTGTTGACAACCTGGCCTTCAGACCATGCGGTTGGTGGTCCTGCCCCCGGAGATCGCTGAGGTGGGAGTGAGGGGCAGTCACGGGGTGCACAGACCGCCTCCGGCGCATGCGCTGTCCCAGGGAGCGTGGGGCCCACCCCCGGACCCCCAACCTCCTATAGCTAACCACTTGGCTTGTGACCCCCAAGTTCAGGTACTAAGCCCAGCCCCCAGGGTGTGGGATTTGTAGGTGGGCCCTGGGGGTGGTTGGGTCTGAGGGTGGGGCCCCCGCACATGGGGTGAGCACCTCTTCCTGCTGAACAAGGTAGCGGCTCTCCAGACACCAGGTTCCTTTGCTCCCTGGTCTTGGACTTCCTGCCTCCAGGACAGAAATAAAGGGTTAAGCCACCAGTTTGTGGGTTTCTGTTCAGGGGCCCGGACAGACGAAGCCACACGGTGTCCCTGTTTGAGCTTCACGGACGTGAGAGTGTGTGTGTCTGTCTCGGCCTCCGTGCCTTAAACAAGGTGGGCCCTGTCTCCAGAGGTGCCCCTTGTCTAGTGTTCCATCCCGGCTGCCACTGTTGGCCACGTGCTTGCTGTGGGTGGATGTGTGCATCGTTCTGGACGGTGACATGGTGGACATGGCTGTGGTGGACATTCGTGTGTGTGTGTGTGTGTGTGTGTGTGTGTGTACGCACACAGGCACGCCTCTGGCCAGTGCACAGGGCTGCCCGGAGGCAGGGTGAGGCTGGTGCCAGACAGACGGTGGCCTCAGTCTTGGGTGTCGGCGTAGCTAACTTCGGCGTCGGTTTGTTCCTCTGGTCAGTCTGAGCGAACGCCAGAGGAAGTCCACGCAAGTCCTGCGTCCCGTGATGAGTCTGATGTGGCCGCCACGGCACAGGCTGCAGTCAGCGGCCCACTGGAGGGCGCCCCCTTTTTGTTTAATCCTCACCCGAGGACATTTTTAGAGGGAGGACGGGGGGAGAAGCATCCCGCATGCACCCTGACCAGGGTATATGCCTTGACCGGGCTCAAGCCCACAACCTTTAGGTTCGCAGGCCAACACTCCGACCACTGACCAGGGCAGCCACTTCTGTCACCATAGTTACTGTTGCCTGTCCCTGCATTTCACATAAACAGGCGGTCAGCGTGGCTTTCCCTCTGTTCCGGCCCCGTCTGTTAGGAAGACTCCCTGTGGCCGGGTGGGCGGGCGCCTTTGTCAGAATCTGAGCGATGGGCGGCTGTCTGTGCGGTCTGCCCGCCAGGTACGCAGCCCTGCTGGACGCGCGGATGGAGTACGCACCTCTGTCTTCACGGGTCACCAAGGGACTCGCTTTTCCACATGCATTTTGGAATCGGCTTCTGAGCTTGAACAGAAAAGCCGCTAGACTTCTGATAGGATGGCCTTGACCTCAGGCCTGGGGAGTGGTCCTAGCAACGCTGGGTCTCCGGCCGCCTTTCCTCTGGGCACCGCCGGCCGCATTGCCCCCGGATTTACTCCTGGGTACTAGGTACCTCATGCTGTTGTGAACAGGTTTTTGGTTCATTTTTAAATCGTGTCCCCTCGGTTCACGTGTCAGTGGTCCGTCCACGCTCCAGTCCCCTGTCCACACGACAGCCCCCTCCCAATCCCCACCGCTCCCCCTCTGCCCTGGCCTGCGGCCGTCCATCCTCCTCCAGGGGCGTCGCGGCATCTGCCGTGCCGAGACCTCAAAGGTTGGTCTCTGGGAGTGACAGTCACGTGGGCCGTCGATGCTTGAGCGTAAAGGAACTTGGCACCCCGTTCCTGTGAGCGGTCGGACCTGCTGGCGCCTGCGGCTCCCTCCGCCGTCGCCGTGAGTTGTCCTAAAGGTGGAGTGTCCGGCTGCGGGCGCCGAGCGGCTGGCGTGGCGTCGCTCCTGAGGGTCTGGGGTCCGCGGGGCGCCCACCAGGCTGGAATCTCCTTGCGCCGAGTCTTAAGAACCCAACTGTTAACAACAGGCATGGGACTGTTTAGGTTTCCAATTGTTTTTTAAAATACACTAGAGGCCTAATGCACGGAATTCGTGCAAGGGGCTCATGGCCCCAGCTTCGTCCAGAAGGTCGGTCAGCTGTCGGTCTAATTAGCATATTACACTTTTATTATTATAGATGTTTGTTAAGGAATCTCCCTCTAAGTTGTCAGAACAGTTGGCCCGGCGCTGGGCCTGCCCCTGCTCTCCCTGCCTCTGCGGGCTCTAGTGAGACCCTCGTGCTCCTCCGGAAGCTGTAGGTGTGCTGTGGCCAGGACGCGAGCCCTCCCGCCAGGGCCCCCCCCCTGGAGCCCGCCCGCTGGCCAGGCCCTGCCCCACCTGCAGCTTCGAAGAAGAGTCCTGCCTCGGCCTGTGCAGGGCCAGGCGGGCCTCCTCCAGGGGACACCCTGCCCTTCCTCCCACCCCAGGGCTCAGGGCAGGGCCTGACTCCACCTTGACCCCCAGCTCAGAGGTCGCTCAGAAGGTGGGGCACGTGTCCTGCAGACGGAGATGCTGAGGGAGAGCAGATGGAGGGTCCACTTGCACTCCCCGTGGCGGCTCCCGCAGACGCGCTGTCTTCAGTGGCCCAGGGAGTGGGTGGGAGGGAGGGGGACTGATGGATGCAGGAGGGATGGACGGACGGACAGGCTGGTAGATGGACAGAGGGAGGATGGATGGGTGGAAGGAAAGGAGGAGGGAGAGTGGCTGGGGGAAGGGAGGGAGGAGAGTGGCCAGAGCGGCCAGCTGGAGCCCCAGCGAGGGAACATCCCGTCTCATCTCCAAGACCAGGTGGGGTCCAGCCGGATGGCCTGGTGCCCAGGCTTCGGGTGGGCGGGGTGGTGGAGGAAGCCCACTGCCACTTCTGCAGACCACCAGACCCCGTGGCCAGTACAGCCACCACTGGCCCCACCCCCGGCACAGCCAGGAACATGCTCGACTCCCCCAAAGCCCCGGGCACCCCTGGGAGGAAACACCGCACCCCCACCCGCGGGGGCTGAGCCCCCCCTGAGCCCTGGGCCATGTCAAGATGCCCACACTGGCTCTGGCCGGTGGCTCAGTGGTTGGAGCGCTGGCCCTCAGACAAGGGTCGCAGGTTCGGTTCTGGGCCAGGGGATGTGCCCAGTGTGGCTGGGTCCGGGGCACCGGTCGGGGCGCGTGCGGGAGGCAACCAATCGACAGAAGACTAAACTGCAGGGCCGCCAGGCAAGGCCGCCGCCCCCAGACAGCCCGGGAGAGAGGAAGCCCTGGGCCCTCAGGAAGACCGCGGGTTATTACAAATGGAGGCTGATGGCTTTAATATTTACGTGAGTAACTGGTGGGTCCCGGGAAGCGGTCAGGAAACACGCTGGCGTCCGCCGGGTCGGAAGGTGGACCAGCCCTCCCAGGGCCGGGGCTCGGCCGGCGGCGCCGTCCCCAAGCGCAGGGCAGCGATGCGCAGGGTGCGTGGCTGGCAGGGCCCTGGCCGCCAGCCTGGGTGGGGCGTGGGCTTCACTCTCATGGCTCAGGCGGCCGCCACCTCGGAAGGGAGGGGCAGTCGCATCCCAGGGCCATCGGTAGCGCAGCCCTGGGGCCCGGCACCAGCCATGCCCCCTGGGGCCAGCAGGCCGTGAGCCACGGACCTCAGACCTCGGGGGTGGGCACTGGTGGCCGCCAGGCCCACGGTCGCCACTGCTCAGCTGCGGGCTGTGCAGTCACTCGGGCGAGGCCACTCAGGGAGGGGCCCCCTTCCTCCTGGGCTCCAGCTGGGCCAGCCGCTCCTCGCGGGCCTGTGCGTGCTGGGCCCCCGCCCGCCGGGCCGCCGCCGTGGCCGCCAGGTCGATCTGCGCGTAGCCGGAGGTGCTGGCCCCTGGAAGCGGCCCCGGTGAGCTGGCCCAGGGTCCCAGGAAGCCGCTCGTCACGCAGGGGCCTCGGCGGGACAGGGTGCGGGGCTGGGGGTCCTACCCACGCCCTCCACCCAGCAGGGCCTGAACCGGAAGCGGCGGGG